GATGAAATTGTAGTTGGTAGGTAACACTCCTGTTTATAAAAAAATAAACAGTGAATCCCACCTTCACCTCCTCTCACACACATTTTTCTCTGACAGCCTCTGCAAGTAAAGATTAAATTAATTAGTTCCTGGAGGTACTGAAATACCAGGTCGATGCGTGGAGTGGACGGAGCGAGTCCCTATTCCATCTCCCTGTTCCAAATATCAATTTAATATATGGTCCACGGAAAGGGGACGTATCACATWTTAAACTGATAAGAACAGATACTACACTTGATCTTAGCCAAAAGGCCGAGAAGCGATTGCGCGCGCCAACTCCTGTCCTCAGTGGCAAGCCGTTGGGGCCATAAATCAGGCATATATTTACGTGCAAATCCTAACGCGTGGTGCCGTAAATAACGTGCGAACGCGCGGTGGCGTTAAATAACGCGCGGTGGCGTTTTCTACCCTAACCCTAACCCCAACCCTAACCCTAACTGCGCGTTCGCACTTTATTTACAGCACCGCACGTGGCACCACCGCTCGTTCGCACGTTATTTACGTCACCGCGCGTTAGGATTTGCACGTAAATATACGCACCGCGCGTTAGGATTTGCACGTAAATATACGCACCGCGCGTTAAGATTTGCACGTAAATATACGCACCGCGCGTTAGGATTTGCACGTAAATATACGCACCGCGCGTTAGGATTTGCACGTAAATATACGCCCGATTTATGGCCCCAGAGGCCAACCATAGTCCTCAGGACCGTGCGTAAAAAACAAGCTCCTCCTCTTTTTTSCCTTTCTCATTGGTCGCTGGTTGTTTCCATCTTTGAGCGCAACTTYAAGACGAGCTTGAACAGGTAGGTGTAACATTTTACAGACACTCCGTTACAGTTAATGTGTTTAGTAAAATAAGCTCGYRTTAAGAATGTTTTTAAGCTAGCAGGGCTGCTCTGCTCGAAGCTCAGCGGGATGTAGCGGGAATGAGAGGGCTGGGATTCTGTACGCTAATACACTTTATATTGAATCAATAAAATAAAAACCGGCTTGATTTTAAACCGTAAATCTGTTTTTGTTTCGTTGGGGGTCTCCTGGCGTCGCTTCGCGGTTATTTCGTGCCGTAGTTTGATGGGTATCCTCTGTGCTGCACCGCTAATCGATACGCCGGTGTTGTGTCAAAAAGTGATAGCCTGTCAAAAATTGATCTGCCGTTATCGTGCATGCGCAGTCTGTGTGAGAACCGGGTTTTTTTGGGTGGGGGCCGTTAAACGATAATACAGTATATACGTATTTGTATCAAGCCAGAGACACTCAGACAGGCTGGGCGCGCTCCCAATCATCAATATTTGGCACAACATCTGAGACTGAAGCAGCGTTTTAATCCATTGTCTGGACAGGCAGACCAGTTTTGTACGAAGGTATGAGATAATTGATGCTACGAAGATTATTGTGTCTGAGAATGTTCAAATGTAGAAATATGTAGGAGTAATGAAAAGGTCGAGAGCAACTCTGTGTTTACTACATACACCTTCCTGGTCTTATCACCTTTCATCCTCCACCAGTGTTCCTGACCCCCTGCCCTGCGTCTGCAGGACCACGTTGGACCAAGATCACTTTCAGTTAAAATAAACATCTTAAAACTTTGTTTCCTGGAGTGTTTGCATATGGGTCAAGAAACTTTCTAAAACCATGACAGGGAATAGTTGTTCCAATATTTATAATTATAAAGTTTGTGTGTAACAAACAGGGTTGATTTGTAAAATAATATTAATAATTCTTAAAATAACTGTTTTTCAACACGGAGTATTCTAATTATTTTTCTAGTGAGAGTTTTTTTTCTGACGCAACTTGAACGTTGCTCAGGTCGTGTCGGACGGGAAGCAGCTTGACCAAAACGGATAAAAAATAAACACACGTTCACATTGCTGCGCTGGCAAACATGAACATACATTATCGGTTGGGTTGGGCAATATTGGCAAAAAAAATTAATCACGATTAATTGTGGTATTTAGCCGATAACGATTAATTTGACGATTAATCCCCTGGAGTCCCTGGACACCCTCGTGTCCTAGTCA